GACCGAATTTGACCATTATTATGAGAATGAAACGTACCAGGTGAGCTACCATTAAAATAGAAAAGTTTTCGTAAAGTGAATTTTTCTCCTGTGTTGTTCTCCAAATACTTTTTTCTCAATAGCAAAATTTCAAAAAACTAACACCGGATTCGGATTCCCCGACCCCGATTTGCTTCGCTCAAGCCGTATAAAAAACTAATTTTTTTCGTAAAAAAGTCTCTCTCTCCCCTCAAAAAAGAAAAAAGAAAAATTCCGAAAAACTAACACCGGATTCGGATTCCCCGACCCCGATTAGCTTCGCTCAAGCCTTATAAAAAACTAATTTTTTTTGTAAAAAAGTCTCTCTCTCCCCTAAAAAAAGCAAAATTTAAAAAAATTATCAACGGGATTGTGTTCCCCGACCCCAAAAACCTTTCGTCAAACGTTTTAGAGCGTTTTTATATGAGAGGTCAAAAAAACATTTTTTCGTTCTGTGCGAACGAACGAACTTACGAACAGAGGAACGAACGCATTTAACTCGTTTTTCGTAATACCCTCCTTTCAGTAGAGGGAATATTTATGTGTTCTGCTGTTATTTGTACTACGCTAATGTAAAACAAGTGATTCATATTTTTAAATAAAGCTGATTGAAAAGATAAAGTGATAGCCTATAAAACTAAACTAAAATCGCGATTAGATTGGACCAGATTCACGATAAAGCCATAATTAAAATTGAAACTAATCGGTGAATAAATCGCGATTTATCGTAATAATCGCTGAAAATATCACAAAAAATGGGCGATTAATCGCCGATTCAGCGGACGATTATCGTTTCGATAAATCGCGATTAATCGCCAATGTTTTGCCGATTTCGAGAGCATGGGACAGTTCTATATAGTGCAAATATTGTCGAAATTCCCGCGGATTTTCGACAATAAGATACCCAGCAAAAAGTTTTATTGTCGAAGTTCGTACGGAATTTCGACAATATGTCCACGTTCTAGTAGAATTTCGACATTGTCGAAATTCAGTCGCGGAAATTCCGTCTTACCTTAGTAAAGAAACAAATCTCGTAGAAAAATAAATCCCCCAAAAAATAAGTCACGGTAGCCCCTCATATTAATTATGAAATGACTGTTTCATTCTGTTGTGAAATGACAGTGCCAATCGGGACATTGATTTTGTCATTCCTGATATTTCATCACAACCGAGCAATTTTTTGAAAAGCCTATATATACAGGGTGTGCAAAAGCAACTTTATGACAACAAAATTGAATATTTTCTCTCTCCTTGAGTCAATCGGGCTGATTTTCTCCCAGTGATACAGAAGACTACAGATTTTTTTGTAATAACAACGTTTATAAATACTGTTTTGTGCTATCACCTTTCACTAGAATACAGAAATTTAACGTTTAAGAGCCCTCATACCTCAAAAATCTATTTTTTTCCCAGAACACTCCATCTTACTGAAATTTTTACTGCATATGTACTTGACCTTTGATAGTTCTCAGTAAAAATTTGAGCTCATAATATTAAGTTTTTCCGGAGTTATCGTAGCATTAAGGGTCAAAAAGTAGGTGTTCGTGTGTCAAAGATTTTTTCAATTTTAATGACACGAACCTCAGGATCACGTCAAAATGTAGAGAAGACCTGCCCCTACAACCAAACAAAGCCGGGTTTTTGAAAAACAAATTTATCTTTTTAGAAAGTTTTTCGAAAAAAATTTAAAAAGCTAGATTAATTTTTTAGAAAACACGAGTTTTTTGTAAACAATTAGATTGAAAACAAAAATTCCGGTTCTGTTAGGGTGTAGCGCTGAGGTTTACCTTCATGTTAAAACCTTCTTGAGCTTTCTAACATTTAAAATGGCTGAGAAATCTTCGACACAGTCACATAAAACAGAGAGGGTATGGGTGGGGGTGGGGGTGTGGGGTGTAGACCCACTCCCACACTCGGTGCCACTATGGGTTTCAAAAATCTTTCTAATTAAAGTCTCTGTCATCACTGTACTGAACAAGAACTGTTGGTATGGATCCATGAAATCTCGCAGTATCTTCTAAACAGAACTTGCCGCTACTGCTAGTGGCGAGTCACCCTAGATGTCTATGTTACCCACCCACATTCATCCTTGGTTCGGTCTTTTTCTGCAGCGAAAAATTATATAAATACTCTGGGAGAAGAACCGAAAAATAAGACATGAGACACATGAGGGAAACAATATGAAATCATCATATTACAGATATTACCAATATCTACCAGAATGCATTTGAATCCATTCGAATTCATCAGGATCCGATTTTCCTACTTGATATTATCCGTACTTCAAGAGATCCGTTGACAAGTAATATGAGTTTGTCCTTGCCACATATTTCAATTAAGTAATTGTGCAACATCACTTGCATATTTTATAACTAATTGTAGAACAGTTAGTCAACGCTAGTAACATGTTGCCCGAACACACTTAGTCTGATTTATTTTTCTACAGCATCGTGTGAAAACAACCGCTAACGGTGTGCGTGCAGCAGTACAGCCATCGAGATGGACGACGATCTGGCATTTTGCTTTAACGAGTTCATCAAAGAACGAGGTCATGAACAGCATATTGTGATGGAGACGATCAATAATGAACTGAAGTGTATTACGGGAATGTATCGAATGGTGGAACTCGAGTGCCAGAGCAACTCGAGAGATGTAGATGACCTGAGGAAAAACATCGACCACTGTTGGAATTCCTCACGCATGAAACTTTCAGAACTCTTGTACAAGTCCTCAATAGATGCCAGCTCAGCAGAACTTCAAGACATCATTGTCCAGATCCAGAAACATTGTAACAATATTGCCGAATCATTGCGTATATGGCTAAGCATGTGTGCGAAGTATAAGACCGAATTTGACCATTATTATGAGAATGAAACGTACCAGGTGAGCTACCATTAAAATAGAAAAGTTTTCGTAAAGTGAATTTTTCTCCTGTGTTGTTCTCCAAATACTTTTTTCTCAATAACGATTGATCCCTTCCTTTGTGTATCCCTCAATTTTAGTGCAGCGTTTGTTCAGTTTATAGAATTTCTTCGGTCGTTTGCCAATGTTCCTGACATTTCTCTTGGCAAAGATAACTTCGTGGATCACGTTCACAAGATGGGAGCCGACTTGTCGAAAGTTGAAGCCTTTCTGCAACATACTTTCAATACACTGTCGATCAGTACGATAATAGAACTTGCCAATTTCAAAAGTAATAGGATCGACACGAGTACTGGCGCAAGCATGGAGCGGTACAAACAAAATTTGAAGCAGAAAGCATGGAACTCGTCAGTATGCTTCAAATCCTGGCTGTCGGCTCAAACAATGTCGGAGAATTCGGCAAGCTTCGTAAACAAGCCGAACAACGCATGCTAGACATGCTAGACGAGCGTCGGAAATTTGGGACAAACAAACCTCCAGTTATCCATGGTCACATAGATGCTCTATCAAGTAAGATGATCTCTTCATCAAATTTGAAAATGTAAATGAGTGAAGACTGTATTTTTGTTTTCAGCATGAGAAATAGCAAGCGCCGCTGAGTTGTCGCACACTCTTTCTGATTGATCAAAGGTAGCGTGGCATACTTTAAAGCGATATTTATACTGAGAAAAGACCTCCGAAATCTGATAACTTCAGGAAATTTCATCTTTAATTAATATAATTGGAAAACTCTTTAGAAGAAGGATCAGTAGATGAATAAATGAACTCACATTCATAAATTATAATGCGCTTTGACTTTTGAAAAGAGCTGTCATGGAAGATGTTCGCCTTCTAAATGTTAATTCGTTCGGAATTAAGCTTCAAAAATGACACCTTGATGCCAGGAATTCGAATAGACTAGGCTGCAACCCACCCGGCTAAGACCAGCCCATACACTGAGTTGTTTTAAAATAAGAGAGTGTGGGTAGGTAAGTGAAGGTGAAAACTATCAGGTACTTTCACTCACCAACCTGCCCTCACTTTTGTATTTATTATTTGTAGATTGAGCAAAATACGAAATTTCTCGTGATTCAACGTCTATGAGGAAAGCTGCGCGTTATACGATCATTGATTAGAAGTCGAGAATTTGATCTGTGAAAACTGTTTACCTTCAAATCAGCAGAATGAATTTGTCGAATTCTAGTCAATGATACGCTTTCTAACGATGTTCCTGGACGTGGGCTCTGATCGAAATACAAGGAGAAGAGTACACTTATTTATAAAGCCTCCAGAACACTGACGTGAGAGAACCAAAAAACGAGCACTTCACTGACATTTATCGCATAAATCAAAACAATAATATTTTAGTCTGTATTTTACAAGGAATATACGAGGGACTCAGAATTATCTGAATATGAGAGCAAAAGAATTTGATGCCATCATTTTGGCATAGAAATAGCAAAAGTAATGTACAACTAAAAAGAAAGAATAATTTTTTTCGAACAGGTGGTTGATTAATTTTCTAGACACCTGTGTATACTTTAAGACAAATATGTTTATTGCCAGCGATAAAAATTTTAGTCTTGTTAAGTGTTTGTATACTGAATTCGAATAAGTACGCGATTGACTCATGAAGTCTTTGTTCATAGGTAATCCCCTGTCTATGACTTTCTCCTTCTATAACAACGATAAATTATTGAAGCTTGAAGAATGGAACATTTCCACAACCATTATTAAAAAACAATTCTGCGCGCAGATCTGTGATCATTATCAAATCGATCAATCGTCCAACAAGTTTGAAGTAATTAAAGTTGTACAAGAGAAAGAAGATAATGGATCGGACATATTCGTCGTTCACACACTAGTACATCCACCTCACGGTGAAACAGTGACTAAAGAGCTAATGACTAATGATCAAAAAAGTTATGATCTCGTTCACAAACTTCAATCATTACTCAAGCACAATATTCGCTTGATTACATTAGGCCATTTCGGGATGCAGGTGATGAATCCAAAGTGGAATCGAGTTTATGGTCATGTACTCAGCGAGCCAGGCAGTACATTTTGGCCAGGCATTATAAATCGAGGAGGCAAACCTTATTTTTGCCCGAAAGGTAGGAAAAAAACCCAAATTCTTGATATTGCATGAAAGTTAATTCATATTCCTTTTTCTGACCCATTTCCTCTCTCATTCGGCTGAGCTTTTATGACAAAAGATCTCTAGAATTGAATCTCGATTTTAAGAACAATGTGCATTTCCCAGGTTGGAAGCGTTATTCTTTGAAAGTAGCCGATAATGAAGCAGAGTTCGATCGTCGATGGGGTACATGGCATATTGCTTATCATGGGACAAAGGGCGAACTCGTCAGTGCCATTCTTCAATCGGGCTTGAAGGTGAGTACACACGGGTGCTACCTCAAACGTCCTTCCGTCTACGTATCGCCAAGCATCGAGTACTCTGCCCATCCCCGGTACAGCAGAATTTGGCAAAACTCTGGCAGCGGCAAATACTATCAGCTTGTCTTACAATGCCGTGTTAATCCACGCGTAGTCTCCGATGAAAATGTACATCTGGAAACACTGTTAAAAAATAAAGCTGTGGTGATTGACCCCAACTTTACAAACAAAGAACTGGAATGGGTCATTCCAGGGGCGAACAGCAAGGATGAATATATAACAGATGATATTGTATGTTATGGCCTCATGGTCCGATCAAGTGATGTACATCCAGAGAAGTTACCTCCGTCACACTGGTGGTCAGTGTCAAACTGCTGGAAATGAGAATCAGTGTTTGAAAACTACGTAACTATAGCTGCGCTATTTCGATATCATGCGTTCAATTTACCCATTTATATTGCTAATCAGGATTTTTGACAATAAACAAAACACGAGGGCGTATAAGAGCCTCATTACCCACATTGGACTTGTTTCACATGTTGCCAAATTGAAACCTACAGGTGTGTGGGGGTACGTATATAGCTATCACGATACCAGGTATTTTGCTATTGATGAAATAAACAAGTAACGTTCATCGACATGAAAAATCGATTCACTGGGCCCTAGACTGATCCGGATGACGACTTGATATTCACCCACTGCGGAGAAAATTAGCTATTTGCTTCAAAAGCAGATCCTGAAATTTCAAAGAGACGAGCGGATAAGTCGATTGTAGAGGCGAAGGGAGTCAAATAAGTAGAAGCGGGGCAAGAACCAGACGAAAATGAAAAATTGATAACGACAATCAATGATAAAACGCTCGCAAAGACAAACAGAAACACCAAGAAGGGCAACTATCAAACGACGGTTTGGAGATGGGGGAGAGAATGTCAAGTCCTCTTATTCATTAGAAACATGTTTGAAGAATCGTGTTGAGGGGTTCAAAGATTTCCAGAGGACGGGGAGGGTTAACTCTCAGTTAGCTACTAACTTGCGCGACTCAGAGATTTTCACTGGGAGGGGGGCTTCTGCCTGGCTTCATTGATTGCATCACTGGAGGGTGGTATTCCGCGTTTCCCTCCCACGAATCCGCATATACTAGGCACAATAAAGATGATCATTTGCGCCACAAGAATGGTCAATTGTGTCATACATATGGTCATTTTGTGCCATTGAAATGGTCCTTGGTGCCATGGAAATGACCATTTGTGCCATGGAAGTGGTCATTTTTGCCACAGAAATGGGCGTTTGTACGGTTGTTACAGACAGACAGACACAAGTGAATTGCTGTTTCCAGACCCTATCCTTTCAGTCTAGGGAATAAGCAAAACTTTTAATTGCATCTTATTTAAAGTACGAATACTAGCATAATGATGAATCCAAATTAGCTCGTCGAAGTTTTTGACGTTTTGAGCGAAGTGGAACAGCGTGACAAAGAGCTTTTGCTTGTTGATCAGCTTAAAATGGACTATCCAATTTAATTTTTAGTTGACTAAAATCATTGATCACTAGAATTAATGAATAGACAATTGCAACCATAGCTACTCATCTGCTAATATTTACCTTTCAATTTATCGATATCAAACAATGTGTCAATAAAATTTAAATCAATAGTACATTTACTGGATGCAATCGACGATTTTTCATGTATATCTAGACGCAGCCCGATGATCTGAAGCAAAAAAAACATCATTTACATCAATAAGCATCGATAATGTAACTTGAGTTTTTTATCAATTGAATTATCTACTACATGAAATAATCGACCACCTTAAAGAATTTGTTCACCGCCATAGCCCATATCACCAATTTCTTTTGTTGATTTATTGATTGTTCTTGCTTTCAAGACACCTACAAAGAAAGAGAATACAATAGGAACTTTACATCAAAATATTTTCAGAACGTCAGATTCAAATAATACATGAAATCGAACGCATAGAAAGTCAGCATCCATATATAGAGAGGTAAATAAATCTCGGCACAATCATGTTGTGTTTTGCATAATAGTGAGTTAGTTAAGTTTCTTTCGATGCCATCGCCAACAGCCTACTGCTCGATAAATTCTCACATCTGTGTCAATTCAACTAACCACGTTTCCATTTAGATGATGAAGCTTTGCCATTATAACGGGTGGGCCATAAAGAATTGCCCTCTTAGTATTTTTCATAAATGTCATCCTTTATTCGTATGGTAAAATATCTTTTACTATCATAAGATGGCGCTTGAAATTCTCTATCAGAATATATATGATTGGATTTGAAAATCATTTCGAACACCGGGAACGAAAATGAAAAGTAAAGATCTTCAACTAGCCGTAAAAAATAAATATGAAAATGGTGATGGTCCAACGAAAATTTACCGCGATTTAGCCGGAGTTGTTTCATTAAGAACAATTAAGTTATGGGTTAAAATGCTCAACCAAACACGCTCTATCGATCTGTCTCATTCCCCTGGTCGTCCACGCACAGTACGAACAAAAGCAAATATCTCAAAAGTTAAATACCGTCTTGCTCAGAAGAAACAGATTTGATCAAGACGGTTAGCTGCTGAGATAAACATTTCACGCACCAGTGCCCGGCGAATTCTCCGTGAGGATCTTGGTTGTTTTCCATACAAGAAAATCAAACAACCAAGGCTCACTGACCTTCAAAAAAAGAAGAGGGTTAAATTCGCAAACTGGATTTTAAATCATTACACCAAAAACGACACCGAAAGATGGCTTTTTTCTGATGAAAAATATTTTGATTTAGACGGTGTCTATAATGTTCAGAATGACCGTGTGTGGGCGATCAGTAGAGCAGAGGCTGATAGACAAGGTGCTATACACCAAAAAACAAAATTTCCAACAAAAGTTATGGTGTGGCTCGGTGCATGTGCACAAGGTCTCACCGAACCTGTAATCATAGAGCATGGAACCATGAATGCTGAAAGATATATCAACGAAGTACTTCACATTGCTCTAAGGTCAGGTAATAGAATGTTGGGAGACGATTGGACTTACCAACAAGATGGTGCAAAGCCCCATATCCATAAAATGGTTCAAAAATGGTGTGCTGATCATTTTCCTTCCTTCATATCAAAAGATCGTTGGCCGCCAAATTCACCTGATTTATGTCCACTAGACTATAGTTTATGGAATGAACTAGCTGGATCTATGGATTGGCACAAGATAACAACAAAAGAAACACTGATAAATGAAATAAAATGTTCTGTTAAAAAAATTGAAAAAACGAAAATTTTACATTCTGTACACGATTTTACTATACGATTGCGTCAAATCCAGAAAAACGAAGGAGACTATATTCGTTAAATAAAATATACCACATTGTGCAGAATTTCAAGCGCTTCTTTTTTGACAAAAAGATATTTTCATTAATCGCATTCTGTAGCAAATCTCCAAAATACTAAGAGGGTAATTCTTTATGGCCCACCCGTTAGGAGACGTCATAACAGTCTTACGTCCAATATTTGGTGGTGTAACTTTGATCCTACAAAAAAGCAAGATATATGAGTGTCCCTTATTTCAAAGAAAAGAACTTACGGTTTATTCTCCGTGTTAATCGGAGATGCAAATGCACAGAAAATGCTCGTGTAACAGTGACAAACTTCATGGATCAGTTTGACGACGCCAAGAACGACATGAAATTTATATTCTTCAATGTGTGGTTCGGTTTCTAAAATGTATTTATACAACTGCAACAAAGATGAATAGCATTGTATGAAGAGAATTAGTTTTTTCTACTCACCAACTGACTAATGAATATTTGACACGGTTGACTTTCATTGTAATTGAATGTCTCGCATTGCATAAGAACACTGGGTACATTTAATTTATCGACACAAACTTGTAATTTCAGTTGAGTACATGCTTCTTGAACAAATTGTTGTAATTCATTACAATCTCTTTTACGACTTTTGACAACTTGAGCACACAATTCATTTAGAACATGATGTCGAAACTGATCGTGATTGGCATATTAACGCACGTTCAATGATATCATTTATAAATGGATATTGAGTAGCCAAATCTGACGAAAATCGATCGAGTGTTAGCTAAAATATAAAAACCCTTTTTACTTTGTTCTTAAACAAATTACAATTACTTTAAACATTTCAGGATCAATAATTGATTTTGAATTATTGAGTTTTAAAATTTGAAAAAAGTTATTGTTTTCAGTATTTCTTTATGATATGTATACTTCACCAATTAATAATCAGGAAAGGAGAAAAACGTATGAGTTGATTCATTCTTTGAATCTAAAATGTCTATATAAAGATGACGCTATATCATGAGCATGCTATTGAATAAAAAGATAGAAGAATGTATAATGACACTTGGTAAACATTTGATCAATAGAAATTATTTTGATAGATTGGTAGGGTGTGAGTGTGTGAAGGTAAGAGGCACACCCACACCCTTTCAAATTTTCGTTTTCTGAATTTTTAAAGTTACATACATTAATTTTGAAGAAGTTTCCTTTTCAGAGGATGTTGGTTTGGATGCATTATTTGACAGAAAATAATTCACCCGCACACTAATCCGCAAGCATGATCTCTGCACACTCTATAAATTATATTCATGCGCTAATTTTTCTTAGCGCTGAGTTGTTCTTGTGCTTAAGTTTCCATGTTTAAATTCGATTAACTCTTGACATACATCCTTGTAATATGTCAATTCCGAGACTATTTTAAGGATTGGATCGATAGATTCATATTCGATTACAGATAAAAGATTTTTTCTTCTTGGCAAGACTCAATGAAATGGCATGAAAGCTTCAGTTACTCGAAAATCAATTAGAACAATCAGAAAATACCATGGGGGAAAAGCTAGACTTCAGGACTTTGTACTTCGCTCGTACTTCAAAAATTTGCTGAAGTAGATGAAATCTCGCTTTTCCCCTTTGCAATTGATTCAATGTATTATTATCGTTTAGATAAGCAAGAATGGCACGTGATAGTAGTATTCCAAGTGAAGCTGCTGATTTAATGGCTAGACCCATGTCTTCATCAAAAAATGTTTCATATCGACAGAAAAAACTTCCACCTATTCGTCAACAACAACAACAACCGCAACGTCGAAATGGAAATACGACGTCATCAAATAGATCAGATCAATTACTGGGAAATCAACGACGTATTGCGCGATTTATTAAGCATATCAAAAAGTGAAATCAATGAGTTTTAGTTTTACAAAAAATATTTGTTATCAGTCTTATTTTTAAACGAGCTCATTTCTTTTGTTAATTGCTCACTTTTCGATGTACACATATTGATTGCTCATTGAAATATTGTCATTTTTCGAGATTTTTTACTATAAACTTATATTTATCAATCAAATTAAATCAAGAGAAAACCGAATTTAACCGCCATCTATGCTTGCGACATCATTCACTCTAATTTAAAAATGGTATTTGTTACTATCGAAAACTCTTTTAGGGTTTCCGAGCTATTCGGAAACCTTGCCTGGGGTTTCCGAGTCATTTGGAAACCCTAAAAGAGTTTCCGATAGTAACAAATACCTTTTTTTATTTACAGTGTTGGCAACTTTTATTTCTTCAGTAAACAGTCACAGTTTATTTATCACTATTTGTATTCTAGAAGCAAGTAGTCACTGTTAATCATGGTACAATATAATGCTCAAGATTATCAACAGCGTGGTATATTTGGACCATTTTTTGCTACTATGTTACTTACATTAATCGTTTGGATATATATGTATATTCGACGTATTCATTTTATTCAATCACGCAACATTCAACCAGAACAATTGAAGCGTACTGGCGAACTAGCACGAATAACACCTCCAGCTGTATCAAATCCATCGGATAATCTAAAGAATTTATTTGAAATGCCTGTTTTGTTTTATGCACTTTCACTCTACTTGTATACAACGAAACACGTCGATATGATATATATTGCTGCTGCATGGATTTATTTTATATTTCGAGTATTTCATAGTTTCATCCATTGTACGTTTAATTCCATTATGCCTAGATTTTATTGTTATTTGTTTTCTTGTTTCGCTTTATTTTTTATGTTTTTACGTGCCATGATGACGCACTTTTTTTCATAATTTCCTACGACTCCTATGTAAACGTCATCTCAAAGATAGGTGTGTTTTATCAAAAAAAAAAGCTGAGAGGAACGAAAGAAAAATGCTTGTCATGCTGCGTAAGTAGGAAGAAAACATTTGTAACTTCAAATTGTTGTCGACCGCCGTACATAATCAAAAGTCTATAGAATATTTTGGCATGCATGACTTGTCTGTCGTAGGAAATTTCGAAAAGCCAGAGAAACTATATTTAATGTTATGTATTTCGTTAGCACTAAGACATTGCGAATTAAAGTTGGCTTCTCTTCTTTGACAAAACGTAGTTCACACCCATCTCTAACTCGCAGACTTGGATTTCTTCATACACAATAAATTCTACTAATGACACCAATAGAAATGAACCGAATTGATTAAGGCTAATTTCATTTAAATCCGCATGGTTTAGTAACGAATGATTTTTTAATTGACAAATCTGTTTGTTACTGAAGATCTCCGCTCAAATACCAGCATATCAGGTAATTTTTTTATAGAAAAAAGTGACGTAACATCGCACCAGAATGGCATCAAAGAAGATTAAAGAGAACAAATGTGCAACTTGTAAAAAGCAATTATCTTCAACCGATGAAGTGACAATCAATGGTAATAAGTTTCACAAAACATGTCTAAAATGTGGTACGTATTTGTTTATTTTCATCGGAACAGGCTACAAGTATTGAGAATTCTGTTGATATTTGAATATTTAGATTTCTGCAAGGAAAATCCGGAAAACGCAGACTTTATTCAAGACAATGGCAAGATTTCTTGCCATCAGTGCCATGATAAACAACAAACATGTGCTACCAAAAGCAATAAGAAATCTTCAATTCAACTGTAAGAGTTTGAAAATATAATACAACTCATCTCATAATTATTTTATCGCAGTGATACGTATCAAATCTCAAAAAATCTGTCGGATATGTTGACAAGTAGCAGCACTACCACTCAAATTGAAAAAACAGTGTTATCATCGACACCAGTGAACAAACTGACGAATCTTGAAACATTTTCACTCATGTGGCTTGATGCTAATGTGCACACAACAGAAGATAATATTGATGCGCAAGTAAAATTGAGAGAAGCAATCAATTTCTTGCAAACATTCGATAAAGAAAATGAATGCGAAGAAGCTATACGAAACATAGTTAATGAGAAGGTTGTGTTAATTGTGTCAGGAAGACTTGGACGAAATGTTGTACCTCGCTTGCATGATTTATCACAGTTGACTTGCGTTTATGTTTATTGCTTTGATAAGGATGGTAACAAACAATGGTCTGACAAATATTCAAAGGTATCAATGATACGAAATATTCTCACTTTCATTCTTAGTTACTACTCTATAGGTTAAAGGTGTATTTACAGAACTCACTGATGTCATTAAATGCTTAAAAAAAGAACAAAAAGTACGAGAAAAAGTGGAAAGTTCAGGAGTAATATCGATTTTCAATCGATCAGATATAGAACATACGCATAAAAATCTCAAATCTGAAAATAGTTCATTTATGTGGTTTCAATTACTTATTGAAGTATTAATTGGTATGCAACAAAATTTAGCAGCAAAGAAGGAATTAATTGATGTTTGCAAACAACAATATCAAAGTAATTTAAAAGAATTAGCCATTATTGACGAATTTGAACGTGATTACGATTGCTCGAAAGCTGTTTGGTGGTACACGAGAGAAGCTTTCTTATATCGTCTGTTAAATAAGGCTTTACGCATTCAAAATATTGACTTATTATTTGCCTTTCGCTTTTTTATTACGGATATGTTTAAAAGTCTTAGTAAAGAGCACGAAAAGTTTAAAAACTTGTGTACTGACGAATGTATTCGAGTATACCGGGGACAAATTATCTCGACGGACGAATTCGATCGAATGCGTTCAAGTATTGGTGAATTTATTTCAATAAATTCTTTCTTCTCAACTAGTCGCAATCGAAAGCAAGCTATTGGATTTATTAGCAGCGAGAAGCCAATTGATGATATACGACCCATCTTATTCGATATTCGAATTGACATCCATTTATCAGCGAAACCATTTGCCGATGTAACGAAACTGAGTTACTTTCAAGAGGAACAAGAAATCATATTTATGCTTGGTTCCGTGTTTCGAATTTCAAATATTATTTATAGTGAACAAGAACTTGTGTGGATAGCCGAATTGGTGTTGTGCAGTGAAAACGATCATGATCTAAAGGATCTATTTGCTTATCATAAAACGAAAATTGGCCAAGATTTCACAGATGTTGTTACGCTAGGAGATATTTTATTTAAAATGGGAGAATTCGACAAAGCGAAACAATATTATAATCGTATCCTTAATGAATTATCGAAAGTCGATCTCACTGCTGCAAGTTGCTATTTCGGATTAGGTAATGTTGCTATCGAACAAGATGAATACTCTACAGCACTCACGCATCATCTTCAAGCTCTTGAAATCAGACAGAAATTTTTATCTGGTAATAATCCTACGATCGCATCGAGTTATAATCAAATCGGAGCGACTTTCCAGCGATTAGTCATTTATGATCGGGCTCTTGAATATGCCATTATTGGCTTAAAAATGAGATGTAAATGTCTCGATAGCAATAATGTTGATCTCGCACAAAGTTATCGTGATATTGGAATTGTATATTTTCGACTCACTGCGCATAGGCGAGCCTTGAAAAGCTTTGAAAAGGCACATGAAATCTATATTAAAGCTTTGCCAGAAAATCATCCTGATATCGCAGAAAATTTAGGCTATATTGGCTATGTTCATAAAGCTCTTAAGGAATACGATTCAGCACTTCAATATTACCAGAAAGCGCTGGCAATCGATAAGAAATCTCTACCGGAAAACCATCCTGATATCGGGGTAATAACTAAATCAATTGGCACCGTTTTCTATTGTCAACACGATTATAAGTCCGCACTTGAATATTATAGCCAAGCACTCGCAATCTTTCGGAAATCTCTACGACCGTCTCACCATTTTACTGAAGATGTTGAAGGGATGATAGAGCTCATAAACAAGAAACTATCGACAGCGTCGCAAGACACCGATTAAGCTATACTTCTCCGTTTCTATAGTGTAGAATAAACGCGACAGATGATAAATTCGAGATACTATGACCTCATAAAACAAAAAAAGATTATCAGCCATGGACTGCTTTTACTCCATAGTTTATAATTCGGTATATGATAATGAGTAAGTTTATTTTTGAATTGGATACGATAATTTTTGTTGAGTTAATAAAACATTTAATAAATAGTGATGGTATGGATGTTCCTACAGTGTTTCTCCACCGTGAGCCTCATATATACTCATACGGAAACTAGTCTTCTCGGAAATCTATCTGTTCTATTTCTAATTAGCTTGAAAATGGGCTATCGATTTTTCCGATCATTGATGGCAAGCGGAAATAAGAACAATTGCGTTCTCATGAGAAAAGCGTATTTTCATGAAATAGCCCTTCTTCGATCATGATATTGTCAGTGTTGTAATCATAAATTAATTTATCTTACTGGAATTCGATAAACACATTGATTAAACATATATTGAAGCATTTTCTCCACACAAGTGTCTCAAGCCATCAACATAAAGTAGATTTTTTTCTGCTCTATATCTCAAAATTGTAACACTACGAGATTGCTACAGTCAAGTCCACTTATAAGAGCTCCGGATAAAGGAGCGGTCCGCTTTTAAGAGCCGTTTTTCAATTCCCCGTTTTGCTCTCCAGCAATTTACGTGTTGACAAAGTCCGCTTACGAGAGCCTCGGATAAAGGAGCGGTCCGGGTATAAGAGCCGTTTTTTGGCGCTTTTTCGCGATTTTTCGCGATTTTAGTCCGTATAAAAGAGCCTTTTTATCTACATGATTATAAATATGCACTTATATTCTTCTTCTTTTCTTTTCTTTTCTTTTCTTATTAGATATCAGCCAATGATTTTTTGTTCTCTGTCATATATGTGTGATGGACTTTTCCTTTCCTTCGTTCTTCTTTCTTTCATGTTGTTCTATGTTGGATTTTCTATTCAATGGATTTTCCTTTCGTCCTTTGTTCTATATATTGTTCCTCATTTTTCGTTGAATCTTTATTTTTCAAAAAATGGCATCTCCTAGAGGTAAACGTTGCACATTATCGATTGAACAAAAATTGGAAATCTTGGAAGCGCTGAAATCGAAAAAGCCAGACGATGAGGCGAAGATTTTAACATCGGCTATTCTACAGTGAAGAAGAAGACGAAGAGGAAGCCGGAATTTCTTATGAATCGATGCCAGGTGTCTCTCATAAAGATGCACTGATGCATCTTTCGATGGTTCGCAAGTATTTTGGAAGAGAATTTTACAGAGTATAATTCATATTATGATATCGAAGACATTATCGAAAAGAACGCTTTAATTAATCGTACTCAAAGTAAAATCACGGATTTCTTTAAGTAAATTTATGTATGTCTATGTATTACTTAATAAATGTTGACAAGAAACAATTTTTGCACTGTTTTACATATAGTTCGGATAAAGGAGCGGTCCGGATATAAGAGCCGTTTTTCAATTCCCCGACTGCGCTCTTATAAGCGGACTCGACTGGATTGTCCTGTAACACGATGTATTTGAACAATGTATGGATTCACGAGTCAATATGGTTAGTCCAATTAATGGTATTGATATGCAATATAATTTAAGTCATCTTTTATTTCCTTCTTCTATATGTTCTAGGCTACAGAAGCGAAATTTCATCTTTGATTCAACTTCTATTCGTTTCTATATTTTCTGCGTGTTTGTTTTTGACGTCACTTATCTGCTCTCAATATTTTTACAAAAAAAAGCGGTGATGCGTGTGTTTGATCTTTGTATTTTTTATGCTTGAATAGAGAAGATTGGTAATATCGGTCGAACGGGAATCGGAACTATTAGGGATTGCTAATTGAGTTGTTTATCAAATAAAATAAAATGAGAAGAGCCAGATGAAGCTTAACGAGAAAGTGTTTCTCGTTCGATGAGCTAGCCAAATTCATTAACCAATCACTTTCGAAAATCGTGTTCTACTATTTTCAAGTCTTAGTGGCTTCTAAAAACTCAATTATCGGCGAATCGGATTCGTCTCGGTTCAATTTCGCAGTCACTCAATGTCCGGATAATTTATTTCAAAGACTGGGCAGAGCAAAATAGGAGCACGATGTTATCGTAAATGAAGTTCCGAGTAAGGAAACTGCTGTTCGAGATATCATAAAACTCAAAATTCATCTAAATGATTTTCTATTGTCTTTGAGGTTTATACTGAAGCTTACTACTCTCTTTCAAATCACCACGAAAATGTTTAATTGAAAAATTATGAAACTTTGACGCTAGATAGCCCTTGAATTGTAGATGGTCAATGCTTAAAATATCATACTCAGTATTATGTTCATGATTTTTCAAAAATTAGTTTTACCTGTGTGAAATTGCTTTCGGCTGGGGTGTGGATGAGTACTATATATGTCGCTGTACTGCACAGCAAATGATCTAAACAACAAATTATAGATTTACAAGAGCGCAATCCAGCATGAATCGTTGACGAATGACATCCTTTCAATTATTTTTCGAATAAACTGCTTGCAACAATTTTGATTGTTAACGCCCGAGGCTCCCAACATTTTTATTTCGCCCAAAGTTAAGAGAATCAAATCTGCTTGATATATTTTGATAGCAATCAATTAAATTTACAGAACCCGCAGTCTTATTATGCCATCAAAGAATGATTTTTAACTGTTGCACATTTTATTTGATATTTAGCCATTAGTACATGCCCTGGTAATCCTCTTACGTAGAAGTGAAATAGCCATGTCTAATATGCAGTAAGTATTTTATTGTTTGACATAGCAAACATTTCGCTTTGATTGAAAGCAAACAAACTGCCAGCATTGATAAAACTCTTGCTACGCAACTGAGAGAGTCATATTTATGTATACCTCCTCCATCCTTCCTTAGTTACAAAGATTAATCAGAATGCAGTGGATATAAATATTAAAAAAATACAGCCAATTTTCTTTCGACAATCGCTTGCAACTATTTGCATTTTATTTATGTCTACTATATAAACACAAGCGTTTGACTTTGGTGAATGCTATTCGAACGAACACTCTACTATCAATAAGTTATACGCAAACAGTAAGTGGTGTTGCGACTTAATAGATATTTAAATTTGTAGCAGCGTCGTTTAAAGAGTTTGCTTTCAAAATGTCTAATCTTCAATAAGACTTATGACTAAATTGAATTCTGCGGCAGCATAAATATGAAACTGAGTAGGAATATGTTAGTTGAAACTCATTCAGATACTGTATTCGGATCAAAACATCGTAAAGATGCACGCGTACAAAATTTAAAAGAGTGCTGGTGATTTCAAATACCTAGCTGTTTTCTGGTTTTGTTGGTCTTATGAACTTTTAAAATGACACTTTGCTTTCATATTGCATCGAACATTGATTTGAAAAATCGAGTCTCATTGATTCGAGAAACATTGGCCTGTTTGAAAAAAGAGAACTGCTTTTTGAGAGTGACTATTGAGTTATGTTGTAAATCAATCTCTCTTTGACGTCAATTATTATACTTGGCATTGTTATCTTTTTCTTCGTAACGGGGTGAAGATTCTTGTATAAAACATAATTTGGACATGAAAAACAAAAAACCGATTCTATATTCCCCTTTTCGTTATTTATATGATATTAGTCTTGTTCTAATACTACTGCTACGTCACCCTCTTTGAGTTTTCTCGAAGTAATGAAATGAAAAAAAAGTTTCCTCTTTTCATACGTGTTGTTATTCTAAAGATGCGAGCGGACGAGTCGGTCGGCGGCGGCGCTGAAATTTTTTTAACTCTTTTAAGTCTTCAGCGACGACAGTAAAAAATAATTCTTTTTATACTCAAGATAGCGGCGGCTGAAACTTGCAAAAACATTTTCTTATTAACCGCGGTAGTTCAGTCGCACGACTTCCTCCTCTACTTATTCTAAGTATTTCCAGACATTTTCCGAGAAAAACTAAATGTTTCCTTACTATAATTTCCTTTTTTTGTTTAGTTCTCATGACACTGCTGGCAATGAGATTCAGTCGCCAAATTATCTTCACTTCTTTGTTGTTTTAAATTATTTATCCTCGTAGTTGTGCGTCACCGTATGAGCAATCCGAATCGGTTGATTCAAGTTGAATTTTCTCGTTCATGATTTAATTATGTTCGTAGTGATCGTGGATAGGGGTGGCACTTTAACTCTAAACTTAAAAAAAAGTGGTTAAAGTTTAAAGTTAAGTTAAAGTGCCACCCATAATCGTGGACTTTATCGGTAAAATGATATCTAGTTTATTTTGCTATTTTTCGTTGAAGTGTATCAACACTTCAACTATTTTTTAACAGAGCAATGGAGAAAGCTAGTTTATTTTACTTAGTTTTTATTTTATTTATTCCGATAGTTTCCGGAAGTTTTACAGAAGCAATAGAACAAGTAACGCAGCGTAAGCGCTGCTGACCCTCTACTGAAAGCATATAATGTTTTAAAAGCACTATAGCCAGGTAAATTCCCGAGTCTAATCATTTCACCTACTAATTTCTCCACTGGACAATCATTATTCAAAAACGTGTTTCTAAAAACCAAGATATGATCATCCTTGTGGAATAACTACGCTTCAGCTTTCTTCGTACCACAACCTAGAGCACTATATTAAAAGATAATTTTTAATCAGCTTTATCCTCAGTCATCGTAGAGTCCAAACTAAACAAACCTTATTAGTATCCCATTATTCAACTGGCTCCTATGGTCCTAAAGTTGATTTCCACCAATATCATATTAAACGGCTAGTCGTTCGTCGGCGCCCCTCCGGGGCGCCACTCACGGCTAGCCGCCACCATTATCTGCTCAACTATACTGATAAAAGCAAAAAGCAAAATTTAAAAAAGCCAGCAACACCATCGTGTTCCCTGACCCCGATTACCTTTCATCAGCCACTATTCAGCGTTTTTATGAGAGAGGTCAAAAAAACATTTTTTGCGTTCTGTGCGAACGAACGGATTTACGAACGAACACGTTTAACTCC